CGCCCTGGGGACAAAGTCCCGGTCCCCTCCCCGCCGCCGCCGCCTCGCCCGGGCTCCTCCCTGACAAAAAAAGTTATCGGTCGCTGGCCGCCCCGGGGGCCCGGCGGGGGTCGCCCGGCTGGACTCACCAGAGCGGCTGCGGGAGCTCCACCTGCTGAACCTCCACTCGTGCGGCTCGCGGCGACAGCGACGGCGGCTGCTCTGCTTTCCCCTGAGTAGCGGCACCACCTGCCCCCCCGTCTTCCTAGCAGAACGGGTCCCGGAGAGCCATCTTCCCCCTCCTCTCCCTGACTGACAACCCAGCCCCGAGAGCCGCCACTGCCGCCCGCCACCCTGACAGGCACGAGCAGGGACCCGTCCTCAGGCAACCAACCACCACCGCCCCACGCCAGCTCAACCTATCGCCGTCCTCTTGGGCGGGACCAGCACAACTTCTCCACCAATTAGAGCCTAGTACTGCTGAGCCTGGGGCGGGGCCATGAGGTGGGGGGAGAACGACTTGAGTGGGCGTGGTCTGAGCAATGGGCGTGATCGGGGAGTCCGGGGGAAAGATGATTGACTTTAGGGTTTGCAGTGGCCACTAGGCGATAAGTGATTAGCTAAGGTCTCTTAGACTCTGAGCCCTAAGGCTTATGGCCTTCTCAGAAGAAAATAAGCTTTACCGGTGATGTGAACTGTAATTAGAAAACAAAAACACACTGCTATTTTAATTTATTGGTCAGTTAGTCACAAGAATTTATCAAAATCTTATCAAATCCCGGGAGGAAAAAAAATGTGTTTGCAAAATGGTAATAAAAACGTCCCCCTTACTACATCATTGCTTTGGGACTTACCCTGGAAAAAGTCAAATACAATTCCTCAATGTTCTTTCCATGGGCGGTTTTAATTTTTTCCATCTTCCCTCCTTACTCTTTTTCCCAAACATACACTAAATATTTTGTATAAAGACTGCAACCTGAGAACATCTGAACCTGCTTCTGCAGTCCTCCTGTATTTCACCTTGTAAACTCCTCCTAAGACATCCTCTCAAGACCAGTCAGGATTAATTAGAAGAAAAACAGACCTCCAACCTGGAAGACAGGAAGTCATCCCAACTTTACACTAGGCTCAAGTAGGATTTCTTGAAAAGTCCTATGTCATATTTTCAAATATGCTACACTCATAAATAACAAGCACATAAGTAAGAAAATATATTACTTGATATCAAAAGGGTATCAGGAAAACAATATCAGGCAATTGTTAGGGCAGATTGCTAAAATAATCAGACAGGATAGCCTCTTCAAGGTCATGATTAGATTTATAAGTAGACAATAACAAACTACAGTGATAAGGACAATAGAGCTCAGTTAAATGAGCAAGGGGAAACACAGGGCAAGAAATGATTGTATTTAGGAAAGTCAGGGAACTTCACAAAGAAGTTGGTGTTTGAGTTGGATCTTAAAAGGTAAATAGGAGTTTGCCAGAGAAGAAAGTCAAAGGACATTCGCAGTGTGCGAAGGCATGAAGCTATGAAAGGGCATGGAGCAGTCAGGGAACACTGAGAAAGTAGGCAGGGCTGAAAGATGAGGAACAACCAAAAATTAGGCTAGAGCGAAAAGTTGAAATGCGAATGTAAAAGCTTCACGAAGCTTCACGAAAATATTTAGGCGAGCACTGTCCAACAGAGCTTTCTGCAATAATGAAAATATTCTATATTTGTTTGTCCAAAATGGTAGCCACTTGGCCAAGTGCTGTGGCTCACACCTGTAATCCAACACTTTGAGAGGTCAAGGTGAGAGAATTGCCTGAGCCCATAGGTTTGAGACCAGCCTGGGCAAGACTTCGTCTCTACAATAAATCAAACAATTAGCTGGACTTAGTGGCACAGGCCTGTAGTTCCAAGTACTTGGAAGGCTGAGGCGGATGGATCGCCTGAGTCCAGCAGGTGGAGGCTGCAGTGGCCGTGAGCATGGCATTGTACTCCAGCCTGGGTGACAGAGTGAGACTCCTTTCATCCAACTCAAAAAAAAAAGGAAAAAAAAGTAGCCATTAGACACATGTGGCTATCAAGTACTTGAAATATGGCATGACTGAGGAATCCAATTTTTTATTTTAATTTTAATAACCCCCATATTAAATAGTTCAGGTTTAGATTTTCTTCTAAAGGCCACAAGGAACCAACAGAAACTTTTTATCATGTGGACAACACAATCGTTTTATTTTAAAGTATGAGAATCCTATAAAACAGGGTCCAGAGTGACTATTCTCTTTGAGGGGACTCTTGACAGATCAGACCGGTACTGGTGGAGGACTGACATGACAATTTAGGTCCCCTTGACCAGCATCTGGTCAGGGGGAGTATTTACCCAAAAGAACAGGACCAGGAAAATCCAGAGAGCATGTTATACCCTGACATCTTAGAGAACACAAGGAGTCAAAACTTGAGAAGTTGAATTTCTGCTATCATGTCCTAGAAAGTAGGAGAGTGAGGGGCCAGAGAGGGAAAACAAAGTCAAAGTGTCAGCTTAGTCATAAAGATAGGGAGAGAAACAAGAGTGAGCAAAGGAGTTACACACACACAATCAGTATCACTGGCTGTTGGCCATGTGGGCCACTAATGTGTTGGCCTGATTTAAAGAGCCAGGGTGTCTGGTGGCAGGAAAGCCAGTCAACACCAGGGCAAGGTTCCAGGAGAGATGAAGGCCTGAACCACTCCTGTTGAAGTGGGAATAGAAGGGAGGAGCAAATATTATTGACTTCCTACACTGTGCAAGGCACTTGGCTTGTCAGGGATACAGATGAATGCTAGAAGTTTACAGCCTAGGGAGCTGGATAACAAACAGGCTAAAAGTTAAGGTAATTATTTACTGCAACAGTGGAGAGATGACACAAGGCCATACATAAAAGAGTCATTGTCCAAATGATTTTCTAGGCAATAACTGCTGTGTGTGTTCAGAGGAAGGAGTAAGGCCTCCTGTCAAGGGCAGTCAAGAAAGGCTTCACAAAGGAGGTGAAAACTAACTGAATCGTGAAAAATGGGAGGGATTTGAATTAGAAAATTTGTGAAGCAGAAACTTCTGGAATGCCTGGGGGAAAAGAACAGAAGAGGGAAAGCACAAGTGATGTTCAGAGGGCATGGGAGGCAATTTTGGCCTACTATACTCTGGCAAGCTAGATTACATATAGATAATAGAGTGCCTTGAATGCAAGCTCAAGTGTTCAGGTTTTCTCCTTTTGCCTTGTGGCTTCCTGTCTGCTCATTAGAATCGCTTAGGATGCCTTTCAAAAATATCAATACCACACCCCACACTGAATAAATCAGAAAACTGGGAGATGAGACTGGACAGAGGGCTTTTTAAAAAAACTTCCCAAGTGGTTCTAATATACACCCAGGTTTGAGAATAGGAGAATGACATAACATTTTACTAATGCTAAATCAGGACTGCTCATAGTCTACATCGAGCAGAGGGAAACTGAAATGTGTCTAGGTATATTTATATATAATTTGTTTCCTTCCTACAAGAAGACAGGAAATAGTTTACTGCCTGACTTCACTTCCCATTTTGTAGTGGTAAAAAGATATAGAAGACAATTTAAGTTGGCTCCCCTCTCAGTCAGAGTAGAACTAAAGTATAAATTTATGTTTGCAATCCACTCTTCTTTCCATCACAACTTGTACATGTAAAAATAATTTCCAACAATAACAGTCTGCAGTTAACTATTACACATAACCTTTTATATTTTAGTAGCAAAGCATCAGAAAAACGCCTAAGAGAACATTCTGTTTCAAAAGGAAAATGCTTTTAACCTACTTTATAAAAGTCAACATATTTCAGATCTTTCCTACCGATCTTTGCTAGTCTTTGATATCCATTTGCACAGTTCTACACTAACTATTAAAGTGCATTTACCTACCTTTTTTCAAACAACTTTATAAGAGGGCCAGTTGAATGCTATAAAGCATAAACATTTCCCTATGACATTAAATTTCAGGAATTTTAAGAAAAATTTAGTTCAAATATATTTTTACTAAAGTCCATTGGAAAACAACTCGGTAAGATGACTGTTGTAAATAAAACAGGAGAATTTTGTCTTAAAAAACATGAAAAATACATCAAAATGTTACTTTTGTGATATCTTAAACATAGTCAAAGAAAAAAATGAAATCAAAACAAAAAGAGTACACCTGAGAGGTCAGTCAAGGGCTTGCTGTGTCAGATTCCCTTTCTAAGGGAGCCACTCCAGTCAGTGCCCCCAGCTGGGCTGCAGCCTGAGCCATGATCTATGCCATACAACCCCCTTCATAGATCAGTATACCCCGAGAGCAGCCAAGCTTAAAAGGTGACCTGACGTGAACACCAGTTCTCTTTCAAGAATCTGAACTGGAAATGGGAAGGGAAAAATCCATCACAAGAGAATCACAGGAGCAGAAGCTGAAAAATCAGTTAGTAGGCCGGGCTCAGTGGCTCAGCCTGTAATCCCTGCACTTTGGGATGCCAAGGCAAGCGGATTGCCTGAGCCCACTGGTTCAAGACCAGCCCAGGCAACTTGGCAAGACCTCGTCTCTACAACAAATAAAAAGTTAGAGCGCGCCTGTACTTGGAAGGCTAAGGTGGAAGGATTGCCGGGGCCCAGTAGGTCAATGCCGGGGTGGCCATGAGTGTGCAGCTACACTCCAGCCTGGGTGACGGAGTGAGACTCCAACTCAAAAAAAAAAAAATCAGTCAGTAGAAAGAAATCCTGAGAAGCCTCAAGTTCTGACTAAACTGAAGCTATTAAGTAGAGAAAAGACATATAAAGTGGAGGGTGAAGTAATTGGTAACAAAGGAACAGTAGAAGTAGAGACAGAATAGAATGAGTCACCATGACTAAGGTGGACGTCAATGAAGTCCTGTTTGGAGGGAACAATAAGATAACCTATATCCTGCAGCTGTGAATCGCTCCAGTGTCTTCATTCAACATCCGTGAGGTCCAACTGCAGCTGTTACAGAGTTCCATAAGATTCCCATCTCCATCACCTAAGGTATCCTAAGTGCATTGTTGTATCTTTTACACTTGTGTAAACCACTTAGTCGATTTCCAGAATTATGGATTAAGTAAAAGAAGCTGGGCCAATTGCATTTTGTGAAGAGAATTTTACCCTTCAAGGCTGGTTATTTCTAGGAATAACACTTCTTGAAAGATGAAAACATTTTCTGCATCTAAAAAAAAGTATGAATTAAGACTTTATAACAGATATTTTAAGAGGAAAAAGTCTCCTTTCTCGTGTCTTTTAATGTGTGCCAACCTGGTTCATATTCTCCACATAGAAAGTCCAATGACTAGCTACTACCCTCAAGTGATTAGAAATGAAAAATACCCACATTTATTTTTTTTTTTTTATTTTTTTTATTTTTTAGTTGGAGTCTTACTCTGTTGCCC